AATCTCCTGCACCCTTTAAAGTGTTTGTTGGCCTAAATTTTCTTTTCTTTTGGTGATTCACTTTGTGTAAGTACGACTTGTTTCAACAAGCGCACTTTTCAATGCATTTAATCTAATTAGGACACCAAATATTTTTCATACATTAAAGAGGAGTACTCTAATAAAGAGGAGTATAAAGTTGCAGAAAAATTGTGTCCAAGAAATATTGTCGAAGAAAAATTCATTGCAGCTCGCTTTAAAAGAATGGAAACCACAATGCATGTGTGATATGAATATGCATACACGCTATTCTATATGCAAATACATATATTAGCAAGCAATGCCAACTTTGACAGCTGTGTATTTATACAGAACAAACTGTGTTGTATTTGCACCCTAAAAACATCAGTACGTGTTTACAAATGGACAGTTTGGCTCCAAGAACACTAACAATGTAATTTGTAATACATGTACTTATGTACTAAGAAACGGCGATCTCGTGCGCACAGGAAATATCACAATTATAAAGCCTTAATATTAGAGCATTAAAAATCCTGCGCAGATTAGAAACTAATAGCAAAACCAATTTAACGGGATTTTCTGAAGAAAAAAATTAACAAAGCCAGAAAACCTGAGTAATTCATCGAAGTCGCACCCCTGTATCTTTTAAATGGCTCGGCCACACTTCTTGCCGCCAAGGTCATTTGTGCGCATGCGTGCATAATTATGAATTTATTAGTGAAAAGGTACATTGATCCTTTTCCTAAGCCAATGCACTACGTAAGCAGGCTCAACCCTTACACTGTTTCCCCCCTATTGTGTTATGACCATGCATTCCGATGCTGAAGCTGTCAGATGCCTATCAGTATTGTTAATAATATTATGTTAGGCTCGCTTGCAACAGTGACATTTTGCTACAAAAGGAATTTTTTATTACCAGCGATTGCTATTTCATGTGTGGCTTCACAATTCAAGTTAAATTGTCCAAACTTTGATGAACATCTAGAATAAAACTGACGTATTGTGTCATTCGGCAACCTGAACTCTCTTGGGCAGGTGGTGTTGGTGTGTGCGTGCGGTACATGTCTCTTCAACTAATCGGGTGTCGCGATTTGCTAGAGACAGGCGTACGTCGAACTTAAGAACGCACGCCACTGCAGTGCAACAAGAGTTATTTCTCCAGTCGTCGAGTATAAATTATGTTGTTTTCAAACAGTGAAGTACAAGTAAAACCCACGGAATCAGGTAGGGACTGAAAACCCAATCCACATGTGGACCGAGCCGGGAATCGAACCCGGACTGCAGAGGTGGAAGGCGAGGAAAGAACCACTGCGCCAACCCGACTCCCCGGTTGTGAGGGAGTGCTAATTAGTCTCTGTTAAAGTTACACGATGAACTTGTCAAGAACCTGTAAAGAAAGTAATCCTTGACAAAAGAACTGTCCTTACAGTATATACAATTAATTAAACAATAATCAACGATTACAATGTACAGTAAAATGATAGTGATTGAATAGCCTGTCAGCGTCATTTGCGTATTCTACACGACCGGGGACTAGTGAAGGAACGCGCACGCAGCCCATTTTTGGAGTCGAGGTTGAATGGGCCCTACAGGTGCATTCCACCAAATCGAAGGATTTCTGCGCGCGAGCTCATTCATATTTTGTGATCCCACAGGGTTTTTTCAATAAGACATGCCATAATCAGGAAGGACCATTGAGATATTTCTATAAACCTTGAAGTTGGGACTGGTAGTTTCCAATTCGGGGTATTTCTTTCACTGAGAGCCCAACCTGTGGGCTTATTTTTGGATCGATGCGGGCGACATTCAGAGCTGAGCGCATATTTTTACTACTATTTTGGGGGTATCTTCAGGGAAAGAAAAAATATCGCGTTGCTAACCCCGATAAAACTAGAACAAAAGGTGAACTTCTGGCCTTAATCTTGAATTTCCAGTGATAAACCGGAGGCCAATCTCTTCCCAAGAGTCAATTTACAGGCGGCGCTGTTTCAGTCTGATTTTGCACTGTTTTCTACACTCTAAAAACTCCCTGGTCAGATTGACCCAAAATTGGGTCCCATTCGGCATGACCCTTTCCGGGTCAAAGTATGACCCATTTTGAGTCAAATATGACCCGAAAGGGAGTCATATTTTGACCCAGAAACGGGTCACGCCGAATGGCACCCAATTCTGGGTCAATCTGGCCCGGGAATTTTTAGAGTGTATGGGCACCACGTATTTGGTGTAGTGCAATCACAGACCGTAACTCTGAGAGTGCGTTCGATTAGCTTCCCCAAACACGCCAGTGTTACACCAAGGGAAACCTCGACTCATTATTAAATAAAGAACAAGTTAAACCGCTACTGCAAGATTCCCAAGACGTTAGTGCGAGCTGGCGCACGTCTAATTATGAGTCGTTGGGGGCGCACTATGCACGGTGTCCGCTATCAAGCACTAACGTCTTGAAACCAAGACTAGGATAGTGGTGGCTGACATCAGGGCAAGCACGAGGATCACGTGATGGCTAAACGGGTACGAGCGCTCTCGGTAAGTTTAAGTTTTCGAGTCCCGGCTTGGCCTAGGCTTTACGTGCATTTGGTTTCCAGTCCATACTCGCTCTCGCAGGTTTTCTCCGGGTACTCTGGTTTCCTCCTGCCTCTAAAACTGGACCTTCTTCCTAACTCCGTAATGTGATGCTGATTAATAAAGTGTATGAATAAACGTACGGTTATTAGTGCAAATAGTCTGAGATGCTGAAAGCGCCATTAAAACATAACAAGAAGAAGTTTAAGTTACACGTGTAAGCTGCGAACGCACCCAATTCATAACACAAGATAGAGTGCGTCGTGTCCTATCCAATCTTTGGGGGTGCAGTCCATTAATTCATGTGAAAATTTCTGGCCAGCTCATTAAATTTAGCATTAAAAGTGCCCCCCACAATATCTTTTGAAAAAGGCGGTTTTTTGTCCCCTAAATGGTGAGATTGTGTAAATCGTTGCCAGGATGAACTCCCTTGGTTTTTGAGCTTTCATATGAGGGCAGAAGGGCTAACATCTACGGCTGAAAAATGGTCCTAAGTGCCGCAGAACGTTGAAGGTTGCCACTTGAAAAATGATTGCAATCAGTCATTTGGTGAAATCACTCTTCGGTGCCAACTTGGCAACGGTGATTTTGTTTTGTGGGAATGATTAAAATGTAATTTATTGACCCAGAAAAAATAAAAAAAAATTGAAAGATCAGGGACCAGAAAATAATTCAGGGATGTTGGTATGCATATTGTGACGTGACAGAGGGCGCTAGTCACTAGGCACAGTGCAAAGATATAGATGGCGCTCTGCCCAGTAACAGAAGCAGATGTTAGGCGCGCATAGCTGTGTGTCAAGCAAGCGCGGCGCATAGGCTCCGCCTTGTGCGTTGTGCGATAGGGCAGCGGCCCGGAAGTACTGCTTAGTCACGTGAGCACGTGCGCGGGCGTGGTCAGAGCAGCACGAAAGCTATAAAAGGCGCGCGTAGGCTACGCTTAGTGGTCCTGATAAAGGGCTGATCCTGAGGTAAGGGTCGAGAAGTCCGAGTGGTGCGTGTGCTGTTGAGGGGCTCGGAAGGTGAGGGGCTGATTGGTGGTGCGGTATAGTTCCTGATAGGAGCTTGCGGTTGATGCAAGGGTGGATTGCTATCTCGTGACGTGAGTTGCGTGTAGCG